GGGGGGGGGAGGTGCTTCCGGGACAGAGGGCGGGCAAGATGGCGGCGCCCATGGAGCTGTTCTGCTGGTCGGGGGGCTGGGGGCTGCCGTCAGTGGACCTGGACAGCCTGGCCGTGCTGGTGAGGGGTGGCGCCGTCGCCCTCTGCTGCGCCCTGGAGGACTGGGGAGGGAGCCGAACTAGCCGATCGTCCGGATTTGACCAGGGCGCCTCAGCACGGGCTCACTGGGGGAAACTGAGGCAATCAAAGACTGAGCCTGGCCGACGTAGGCTCAGTGCCCTGTGGCTTAACAGCCTGGGTTTTGCGCAGCCATAGAAAGAGGCCTGGTCGGGGGTTCAGGAAATGGGTTTTAGTCCTTGCTCATCCATTTACTGGCTGTGTGACCTTGGGGCTATCCCTCCCTGGTCTCTGAGGGCTGTTTCTTCACCCGGAGGTTTACTGAGCCTCGGCGATCTGAGGGTTCTCAGGCGTGGCATTCCTGTCTTCTCAGCCTCCCTTTCCTCCCCCTCCTCCTCCTTCTCCTCCTCCACCTCCACCACCTCCACCTCCTCCTCACTACACAGCCTTACTGAGTTCATTTATTGAACCAAAAGGCCTCCCGCCAGGCTCTGTGGAAAGAGCTTTGGAGTCAGTTCGTTCACTTTATTTACTCACTCTTTCATTTAATAAGCATGTTATCAGGCCTCTCCCAGATACCACACCTTGGCGTGCAAAGATGAGTAAGACTTAGTTCCTTCCCTGTAGTTGTTTACCGAAAGGCAAACGTGTTAGCAAATAAAGGTAATAAGTTGAGGTGCCAAGGTTTAAGTAGGAGCAGGCCACAGAGACTCCCTCAGAAGGGCACGATCAGTGCTTCCAGGAAAAGGGATATACTGGGTAGGAAGAACTTATGAGGATGTTTGCACATCAGGTAGATGGCAGGAGAGGGAAGGCTTTTGCTGGCAGACCTAGTATTAGAGACCGGTTCACAACCCCCCCGAGCCCTGCGTTACCCGTTGTAAAACGGAAACCATAATGTCCACCTCTTTGTGAGGCAAGTACCAAGCACAGCACAAAAAGGGTTCAATAAATATTTTTTCTTTTTTTCTTTCGTTTATTTATTTTGAGAGAGAGAGATCGCGCGTATGCAGGCAGGGGAGGGGCAGAGAGAGGGAGAGAGAGAATCCCAAGCAGGCTCCGCACTCACTGTCAGTGCAGAGGCCAACACAGGGCTCGAACTCACCAACCGTGAGATCACGACCTGAGCCGAAAATCAAGAGTCGGACGCCCAACCGACTGAGCCACCCAGGAGCCCGTTTTTGCTCTTCCTGATTCCCCTGTGGGGGCCTCTCTGCCTTCTGCTTCCTTCCCTGCAGACCTATGCCAGATTTACTGGTGCCCCACTCAAGGTGTACAAGATCACCAACCCCTGGCGGAGCCCTTCAGGTACCCAGTGTCCCTGGGGGGTGAAGAAGGGGAGGAGCAGGAGACAGACAGGAATGTGGTGTAAATACACATGGATAGGCAGCTAAGGGTCGGTGGGTGTCCTTTTCTCTCCATGTCAGGGACTCTGCCTGCCCTTCGGACCAGTCACGGCGAGGTCATCTCGGTGCCACACAAGATCATCACCCATCTTCGAAAAGAGGTAGGTGGCTTGGGTAGGAGGGCTGCCGGTGAGAGTGGTTGAGTCATGTCAACGCATCACACGTTTGTCATCTGTGCCGAGCCGGAAGCAGGAGGCCCACAACTTCAAGGAGCACACAGTCTGATGGGACAGACACACTGTGTGGATTCAGTAAGCGCTCGGCCAGGCGTTAAGCTGGGGCGCTGGGGAGGTATCCGGAGGGACAGGGTCTTCTGCCTGCTGGGCAGGGAAGGAGAGGTGAACGGGCTGATGACACCTCGAATGGAAAGGAGGGCGGGAGAGAACGTTTGGCTCAGGTGAGGCCCTCGAAGGTGGCTCTGGAGAGGGACTCGGCAGGGCCATTGTCCTTTTCTCAGGGCCCAGGTTGGGCTGGATACGGGGCTCAGGATGGCCAAGGCGTAGAGCCAGGGTGGGGAAGCTGAGAGCATATTACAAGAGGAATGGGGATATCTTGACTGTCCTTCATCCTGTCCTTGGCTGTGTGATCTTGGGCAAGCTGCTTCACCTCTCAGAGCTGTAAGCCCCTTCTTTATAAAACTAGGGGTTTAGCCGGGATGCTTTCCGAGGGCTCATCTAACTTTCGTGGGAACACTTGGCAGATGTAGGAGCCTCTTGTGTTTTCCCAAAGGTGAAGGAGCTGGGAGGCATGGGGAGAGGGGGTCCAGGGAGAAACCAAAGTTCCTGGGAGGGCCTGGGCCACCGCCCTGTTTCCTTATGTATGAGCACAGTTTTTCCAGTCTGCAGGGTTTTCTCCTAACACAGCCACATTGAGAGAGGGCTGTTACCCCATTCTGCAGGGGAGAAACTGAGGCTCAGAGAGATCTGTTTGTTTGTTTCTTTGTTTTTTTAAGGATCAGGCTCCAGAGGTCATGTGGGGACAAACCTCACTCAGGATGTGCAGAGGGGGTTGCTGAGGTGTGGCAGGCTGAGACATGGGGCGCGGGTACAACGTGCGGTGGTGGCACCGGGGCCATGGAATGAAATGGAACAAATAGCCAAGACCTGGGCATTGAGAGAACCAGCCAGGGGGCCCTGGTTCCTGAGGCCTAGGCTGAGGCCCACAGTGCATCTGAGCTCCACTGCGCCAGCCCTGTGGTGCCCGGACTGGGAAGTTCCTGTTAGAAAGTTGCCGTCAGCGGGCGTGCTTCCAGCTTTCCGTGGAGACTCCAGGAGCCGCTCCTGGTTTGCGGCTGGGGCCTTCCTCTCCCCCCAGCGGGCGCCCGACCTTGATGGCCAGCAGGCTCCAAGGCCCAGGCTCTCCGCCAACAGCAACAGGCTACTGGACCGGCCCAGGCGAGGGGGCCTCGGCGGGAAAAGCTGCCTGGCGTCCCTCTGCTACACGCAGGGGCCGGTGAGGGTGGTGCCGGACAGGATGCCTCCCTCCTTGGGGAAGGGCCCCCGGAGCCTCCCGGCGTCCCCCTCACGGTCATCTCCTCCACAGAAGTACAACGCCGATTACGATCTGTCGGCCCGACAAGGGGCAGACACCTTGGCCTTCATGTCTCTGCTGGAGGAGAAGCTTCTCCCGGTGCTGGTGAGCGTGCCCGAACCTCCCGACGTTCATGGCCAGGAAGGGGGGGGCGGGGCGCACACGCACGCGACGGGGAGCCCGCCCTAAGTTAGGCAGGTGCACCGACTCAGACCTGCTTCGTCCCTCCTGCCCGTCCCCCCCCCCCCCCCCATCCAGATCCATACTTTTTGGGTGGACACCAAGAACTATGTGGAGGTGACCCGGAAGTGGTACGCTGAGGCCATGCCCTTTCCCCTGAACTTCTTCCTTCCTGGCCGCATGCAGCGGCAGTTCATGGAGCGGCTGCAGCTGCTGTGCGGGGAGCACAGGCCCGAGAATGAGGAAGAGCTGGAGAAGGAGGTGCGTCTGGGGCCGGGGCCGCGGTGCGAGCGGAGCCCCGAAGAGGACGGTCGGGGACGGCGGTGGGGGGGTGCCCGGGGTCCCCGCAGCCGCGAGTCCGCCCCGTGTCCTCTCTGCAGCTGTACCAGGAGGCTCGAGAATGCCTGACCCTGCTCTCCCAGCGCCTGGGCTCTCAGAAATTCTTCTTTGGGGACGCGTGAGTCTGCCTCCGGGGAAACTAGGTGGTCTGGGGGGTGGGGGGCGAGAGGCAGGTTCAGACGTCGCTGCGGGGCCCGGGGTGGCCCGGGCGCTGTGCAGGAGGTCCTCGGGACGGCCGGGCCGATGACAGTGGGGCTGTGTGTGAGGCGGGAGGGCCGCCAGGCGCAGGAGGGGCCGCGGGGCTCTCAATGTGCCCTTTATGCAGCCCTGGGATAGAGTCCCATTCGGGGCCCGGCCGGCCCCACCTGGGGAGCCCTCCCCGCTCCCGGTGGGTCCAGGACGGGGGGGGGGGGGGGGGGGGGGCGTCACGCCCCCCAGGGCCCCGCCCCCGGGCCCCGGGCTCTCCCCTGCAGCCCTTCTCTCTCGCTCCAGCCCCGCCTCGCTGGACGCCTTTGTCTTCGGCTACTTGGCGCCGCTGCTGCAGGCCAGGCTGCCCAGCGGGAGGCTCCAGGCCCACCTGCGGGGGCTGCACAACCTCTGCGCCTACTGCGCGCACATCCTCAGCCTCTACTTCCCCTGGGATGGAGGTGAGCGGCGGGCGGCTGCGGGCCGGGCGCTGGCGGGGGCGGGGGGGACACGGGAACCAACCCCCCCCCCCTTCCTGCCTCGCTCCTCAGCGGAGGTGCCGCCTCCACGCCAGACGCCAGCGGGCCCCGAGGCCGAGGAGGAGCCGTACCGGCGCCGGAACCAGGTGCTGTCCGTGCTGGCGGGGCTGGCGGCCATGGCGGGATACGCCTTGCTCAGCGGCATCGTCTCTATCCAGCGGGCGGCACCCGCCCGGGCCCCCGGCACGCGGTCCCTGAGCATGGCCGACGAGGAGGAAGACGAGTGACCCCGCCTCGCGCTCCCGGGACGGACTTTTCTACTCTCACACATTCCAGAGGCTCCTCTGCTTCTCCGTTGTTGGTGCGGCTGGAAAACGGGCGCCACTCCCATAATAAAGCTGTCCACGCGGGCTGCAGTCGCACATTCTCTTTCTTAAGGGACCGTCATCTTTCCAGGAGCTGCTGGCTGGTGGGGGGGCGGCCGTCGGGTGCCTGAGCCCCCCCCCCCCCCCCCGCCCCCCACCGGTGCCTGGCTTCTGGGCTGCCTGTGCCCTGACACCGTGACTGCTTCCGCACGGCCCACGAAAGACACAGTCCCCCCCCTCCCCCACACCCCCGTTTGGGGCCCAGCTTCCCTGATCTCCCTTTCCTCGGCCTCCCCCGCCCCCAGCTTGTGTCCATACAGACAGTGAGCTCACCCTGGGCCGGGGCCCAGTTTCCACGGGAGCCAGCACATAGCACACACTCACAGGCGGGGGGCGGGGCCGCCGGGGCTTCCCTGCGCTCCCTTTAGGGGCCTCCAGGCCCTGGCACCCACCAGGGGGAGAGTGAGTCACGCAAACCACGGCCCCTGGGCTTACGTCACCTAAGCTCGCCCTGGCCCTCATATATCCTCTGTAGCCACAGACAGCGTGTGCGCCGACTCTGTCCCTTTAATGCCCCTGCCGAGCCCAGGCGCTGCTTGGGTATCTGCCCCATCACTGGCGACGCCACAGGTATGTGTGAATGGAGTAGCCGGGGGACAGCGTCTCCATGAAGCCCACGGCAGGGTCCTCGATGGTGAGGGGCACGTCCTTCGGGGAGCTGGGGAAGCAAGGGAGAAGCTGAGCGCTGGGTCCTGCCGAGCCCACCGCCCGGGCTTCAGCCCGCCCTGGGCCCTGCCGCTCTCACCGGTTCAGCACGACCAGGACCGCAGAGCCGTCGGGGCGCGTCAGCGCCACCGTGTCCAAGCCGTTCTTCTCGCTGGCCAGCAGCCCCACTCTCTGCGAGCCCTCCGGAATGAACTTGCGGGGGGGGTTGGGGGAGAACGGGCGTGGTCCGGGACCCCAGCCTCGCCTCCCCGGGCCCGGGCCTGCTCCCCCAAGGGCAGCACCCTTGCCGAAGCTCTGCCCCACCTTCAGACCGCAGCTCTATCCTGCCGGGCAGGCCCTGCCCTCACGTCCTGTCCCCAGCGTCCGGCATGCGGGGCTCGCCCACCACCGCCTAGTCACTTCCTGCCTGGATGGTGCAAGAGGCACAGGGGCGCCTCTCCCAAGCTCCCACCCTGAACATCTTCCTGTTCCCTCAAGGCGGGGGGGGGGGAACAGACGCCCCTGGCCGTGCAGGAGACCAGCCTGGCAAGGAGGCGGGGCGCCCGCCCTCCACTCACCTGAAGTGGCCAAGGTGATAGAACATGGGCTGTTTGTAAAACGTGTCTTTGGTGATGTCTACGATGATGGGGCTGTCGACAAAGTTACGCACCCAGTTGGGTCCCCCTTCGGGGTTCAGAGCGAGGTTCCAGTCTGTCCAGCCGACCACATGGTAGAGAAGGTTCTGCGGGAGGAGCAGGGCAGAGACAGCCCCCACGTGGGGTCCTCAGACAATGTAGTTAAGGGTCGAGGAAGGCAGGCTGGCGGCGCCCCGGCCCCGTGGGGGGCGCTCGGCGCCTCTAACACCTAAGGAGGGCGGGGCGGCGAGGATGAGGCAAGGAAGCAGAGGCACGTGGAGGCAGACGTGACGGCCAGAGAGGCCAGCACTCGAGGAAAGCGGTGGTGGGATGTGCGAGCCCATGAAGGAGGCAGGGATGACAACGCCCCGGAGAGCGAGTCAGCCCGGTGAGTTGGAGAACAGGCCCTCCTGCGGTGAGATGAGGGAGGTCTGCGCCTGCCTGGCGGGAGGGGCCTGGGGGCTCACCGTGATGATGCTGTGGCTGTACTGCATCCCTCGGTCCCAGGAGCCCAGTCGCACACTCTGCTCCCAGAACTTGGAGCCCACGCAGGCCTCTGAGGCAAAGAGCATGGTATCGGGGAACAGGCGGTGTGTCTCCCCCAGGGTGGCCTTTGCAGGAGCCAGAAAGTCCAGGTACCAATGTACAGCAATGCCATGGACGTACTTAGCCGCCTCTGGGTCCGCCAGCACCTGTATGGGGAAGGGGCTGCTAAAACCGGGCCCTGCATGGAGGGTTCTGGAAGCAGCCCTGGGGGCCTGAGAAACAGGCAGTGGGCTGCAGGCAACTAGAGGGGTTAAAGTGACAAACCACGGGGACCTCTGGGGCCCTGGAGACGCAGAGGAGGTTATGACCCCTGAGCACCCCCCGGGGGGCCGCCTGGGCGCCTGGCTGGCTCCAGCCCAGGGAGTTCTAGGAATCAAGGGCTGAGGCAGGGAAGACACTGTGGGAGCCGGTCACCCAGAGGCTAGATCTGGGGGTTGCCGGGCTACCCCGGAGGCCCTGGGCCTTACCACCTGGGCCCAGCGAGGCAGCAGCAAGCGCTGGTCGTCCAATATGAGCAGGCGGACGTCGCGGTGCGTACTGTTGGCGAGGGTAGGACCCAGGTCCCGGGCGATGAAGTCTCGCTGGTGTTCAGGGGTGAAGCCCAGGCACTGGAAGGGGTACCCACTGAACAGCCCTGCAGAAGGCTCGTTCTCTGCCGTCACTGCCCAGAACCGTAACTTGTGCTCCGCGTAAGCGTCCAGGAACCTGACGGGGAAAAGGGTGTGAGTGGCCCTGGACAAGAGAGGGGGACCAGGACCCTGGGGAATAGGAGGCCCGGTGAGGCGGGGAAAACGGACAGGCAGAGTGTGAAAGGCCCAGCAGGTAGAAAGGTAGTCTGAGGAGTCGGATCTGGGGGTGACCCGGGTCCACGGCAAGGGAGGGGGTGCGGAGACGAGGGCTTGCGGCCTTACTTAACAAAGTATCTGGCCCAGGTCTGGTGGTAGAGATCTCCCGGCTGCCCCTTGAGTGACCCCTTCCCGTTCACTGCCCCGTTGGTCTTCAGCCAAGTGGGTGACGTCCAGGGACTGGCAAAGAGTGACACAGGGCGTGGGGCCAGCTCCAGGGCCTGGTGAATCAGGGGTATCTAGAGACCGTGGAGGTGAGGAGAGAGACACCCAGAGCTGGAACATGGGCAGACCGGCCCGACCAGTGGGTCAGGCCGAGCCATCGGCCCCTGCCCTGTCCCGCCAGCCCCCACCCCCCACCCCCGGGACAGAACCGAGAGCAGGGGGCGGGCTCTGTGGCCCCCTGCAGGCTCCTCTAGCCTGAGGCTTCTCACCCAGCAGGCATCCACTTCCACCGGGGCGAGTGCCCACCTTGAGCCTGACATCTTCCTCGGGGAGGATGAAGTCACGCAACTGGAAGTCGTCAGGGCTGTCATCGTAGGTGTAGGTGCGGATGGAGAAGTCACAGCTGGCCATGGGTACCCGGATGATGTTGTACTCGATTCCTGCAGAAGAGGAAGGCCGAGACACGAGCATCTGAGTCAGCAGGAGAATGTGGGACCTGCGTACCACCTGCCGGTCCTAGACTGTGTCTGTGGCGGGCCAAAGGGAGCCTGGGGTCCCGGCTGGGGTCTGTGGAGCCAGGCCCCTGGGTGGAACACAGGTCCTCTGAGCTAACACCCAGGGAAAGGTAGGAAGGACCCAAACGTCAGGGAGGGGTGGAAGTCAGGGTCACGGGAAGGTCAGAGTGTCAATCGCACTGTGTCATCCTGTCCCCCTCGTCCTCACCTTCTTCAGAGAAATAGGATTTGAGTAGCGAATTCCGGGCAGGGGGTGACAGGGCAAGGATGTTGAGGGCAGCGGCGTCCGTCATGGCCCCTCCAAACCCCTTCACTTTCTGGAACTTCTGATCTGGCTGCAGGGTCAGTAGCAGCCCTGCGGATACACAGGAAACGGGGGGGGGGGGGGTGTGTGAGCGCACAGGGAGGAGGAGCCGGTGAGCTGCTGGCATGGCTTAGCTCCGGGAGCGTCCCAGCCTGCCCTGGGGATGAGGCACAGAGCGGTCACCTGTGCCCGTGCGGTTGGCCCGGATGGGCCCCAGACTCAGCTCCATCCGGCGCCCGCTGCGCGTGCTCTCGTATCGGCTGAAGGTGCCGGGGGCGGGCAGGGTCAGGGGATCGAGAGAGTCACAGTACGTGGCATTGCAGACACAGACCACCGAGCTGTAGCCAAAGCTTTTAGGGCTGCAGGGGCGGGCACCTGCGAGGGAGGAGCAGAAGCAGAGGCCGGGGCTGAGGGAGGCCAGGGGGAAGGGACGCACCTGGCCGGACGAAACGGACACTCATTTCAAAACTCCTCTCGCTGTTCTGCCCACGCGAGGTTGGTCTCAGTCACTCAGAAGGTTTGCTGATCGCCCCTGACACGGCAGCATGCCAGAAGGCGCCCACAGGACCGTCGGGCAGGGGGAGCCTCCTCAGGACCGACGCCCCTCTTGTGACTCACTCACCTGAGGCCCACGGCACCGCCTGAAGGAAAAGCAGGCCCACGAGCCTGGCAGCCAAGACGCCTCCCCGGCCCGGCGGCTCGGGGCGCTCCTGAGGACAGAATGAGGACCGGCTGGAAGGCCGCTCTCCACCCCTCAGCTACTCTCCCGTGGGCGGGGGGTGCCCACAGCCTGGCTCCCACCTGCCTCTGATGGCGATGGCACAGGACCCAGAGACACCCGGGTGCTGCCCTCCCACCGTGCCCTCTGCCCACCCCGACCAGGACCCTTCTCCGCCCCTCTTCCCTCCCGCTTCTCCCCGGGTCCCCCCCCCCCCCCATCTGCCCCTCCGTCAAAGAGCCACGATGGCCTGGATTTGAGGAGACTATCATCCACTGAATTCCAGCCTCCGGATGGCCAGGATTCCAGAAGCAGAGCGATAGGACCCGGCTGGGAGCTGTGGCTCACTCACCTCTCGGGGAGGAGTCGAGCGCTCCATCACCAGGTGACAGCACTGCAGGGTTCCCGAGCCTCGGGAGGACAGAGGGTCCCCTAAATACAAACAGGGATGCAGGTCCTGGCGGTGGCTGGACACCCGATCAACCCTGCGGGTTTAGTTCCGGCATAAAGGGGGGGGCGGGAAGTAGGTGGGTCACGTGACGACTCTGGGAGTGTCACATGATACAGGAAGTGAGGCGATTGCAACCATACTTGTAGAGGGCGACCGGCCTCCTCCAG